CAACAAAGAGCTTAATTTTTTCAATATAGAATATAGAAATAGATGTACACATGCGGATAAACATACCCAACAATAAAGTTAAATCTTGTAAGTATTTTGGAGATGGTAGTGATTTTTTATGATTATTGTCGATCACGATGATGTTTGTTAGTAGTGATAGTTGGTGGTGATTGTCAACAACAATGGATGAAAATACAAGAGAGTTCTCTCCATAATTCTCTTTCTCCTTCTCCTCCTCCCCCTTTCATATGAAGAATAAATGCTTATTTATAGATTTTTGAGAGTGACATACTCTATAAATATATAGAAAATCTATGACAAAGTCGGAGTGCTTCATAAAACATCCCGTATTGATTCCTTCAATCAAAGAGTTTTCATCAACATTTAAATGCCTTAATGATCTTAGATTATGTGATCCTGGGCTCGTTGGATGCGGCTCATTAAGCCGCTCGATTCAACTATAAGCATGTAATATTTGGAGATCATTTGGTTGCCCAATTAGTGCTTTGAAGAATTCAAATACGCTTTAGTCCCTTGGTAGAACCCATTTGGAGTCGAATTGGACCGATTTTGGTGTCATTGGTTTTGTCATGTCGAGACGTTGAATTTGATTGTAAGGTTGTTGAGATCAGAGTTTATATGGTCTCAAATTTAATTTTGAAAATTTTCAATTCAAATATGTTTATAGGTTAGTGCCTTATCAAGGTAATTTTTGGTGAAGTATCAAAGCTCATATTAATAAACTTAATGTTAGAGAATTATTTTCAAATATGTTAAATATGAAGTAAAAGAAAAAGAGAAGCGTGGGAAAGAAGAAGACATGGGCAAGAAACTCATGGCGAGTGATCGGCAACTACAACATTACATTACTCAGTGTCCATCGATGGTGACCGGAAACAAAGGACCAAAGATGAATAGGACTAATAAAGACAGAAGAAAAAGATAAAGAGAGGAAGGTGGGGCGGATTCATTGTCTAACTTAAGGGGTTGGTGTCTGGGTGTTCAGAGTGGGGCACCATCCACAAGAATCACTAGCATTGGAGAAATACTGATGAGTACTAAGATTTTGTTTTGGACGATTTTTTTATCATTTTTTAAAGTAGTTTTTTAATTAAAAAATAAAAAAAATTTGTATTAAAAATTAGCTTTAAGAAACAGTAAAAAGTAGCTTTAAGAAACAGTAAGAAAATCATCCTAAATGAAACCTAAGGCTTCATTTGGGACGGCTTTCTTACTGCTTCTTAAAGCGGTTTTCTAGTAAAAAATTTTAATTTTTCTACTAAAAAATTATTTTAAGAAGCAATAAGAAAGCTGTCACAAACGAAACCTAGAGCATTGCCAAGCTGCAATAAAGATTAAGGGCGGCAATGTGGTTTGCAAGATTCTAATCATGACCATTTAATTAGTTTAATTATGATTCAAAATCAATCATTTTTAAGTTTTAATATTAAAAAATAATAGTAAGTAAATTCAACCCAAATAATTAATTAATTCCTGAGAGCTCCCACAGCCAAGAAATTTATGGAGCAGCAGAGAGCTCCATATTTAGTAATTCCTGTTGCAATATTTGAAATTGATAATACAATATTTATGGAGCAGCTGAGAGCTCCACAGCCAACAAATAAGTCATTAATGTCTACCGCTAATGGCATGCGTAATTATTGAATCCAGCTCCCGCGACATAAACGTGCATTATTCCAGTCAGTCTATTTTCATCTCTTGATTGGAAGCTATGACTATCAACTAAGAAGTTTTAAATTCGAGTCTTATATATGTGTTGTATATGTGAATTTGTCTTAATTGGCCTAAATGTTCCAAAAAACGTGCATTATGCTTTTTTTCTTTAAACATTTAGGCCAATTAAGGTAAACACATCTTAGTCGGTAGCTAAAACTCATACACACATTACATACGTAAGACTTGAAATCAAGACCTCTTAATTGATAGTCAAAACTCTCAACTAATAGATCAAAGAAAGCTGTGTCAGTCTTGTTTTTTCGACAGAGCAAACATAATGTTGGAAAAGTTCTTGTTTGAACCGCCACAGTTTTGAAGGGCTTTCCAGGTGGTTTTAACCGCAAGAAAAAAAATCTTACTGCGGTTTCAAAATCGTTGCACCGTTGGTGTAATTAGTAGTCGCTGCAAAGAGTTTTCGTAGTAGTTTTGTTATACACGAGATAAAGTATGTAGGGGTGGTTTGAAAATAACTGCTAGCTAATATTGTTTTTATGTTCTCTTTTTAGTAGTGTTTTTTTCTACAATGATTATCTATTGGCATGCAATACTTTGGAAAGTCATTCA